GTGTGTGTGTGTGTGTGTGTGTGTGTGTGTGTGTGTGTGTGTGTGTGCGCGCGTGCGTGCGTGCGTATGTGAGTGTACTACAAGGATAAGGACCCCGTGGTTTGTCAGCTCCACAGTATTTCAAAACTTCAAACACTCCTTGTGGTGTGTTGTGTGTGTGTGTGTGCGTGCGTGTATGTGCGCGTACGCGCGCACACACACAACAAGGAGGGTTTGGACGTTTGAAGTCTTGAAATATCGAGAGCCGACGAATTACGGAGTCCTTATCCTTGTGATATACAAACACATACACATACACACACCACAAGAAGAGTTTGGAGTTTTGAAATTCTGTGGAGCTGATGAACCACGGGGTCCTTATGGTATACACACACACTACAAGGAGAGTTTGGATTCTTGAAACACTATGGAGCTGACGAACCACAGGATCCTTATTCTTGTGGTACACACACATATACACACACACATACACGTGCGCGCGCACACAATGAGATGTAATTCTGACTAGTAAAACTTCATGCGGTTTATTTTTGGGAAGAATTACAACCATAATTTGGGGCGGCAGTGTGGTCTAGTGATAGAGCGCCAAATTCGTAATCTGAGGAACCACATTCGAGTCCACTTGAACACATAAACATGGAATTTTAATATTCCGAAAACTGCGCCCCTCGCGCGAGAAATTGACTCCCATGCGGAGAAAACTGAGCTCCGTCTTTCAGAAGAGACGTTAAGCCGTTGGTCCAAAAAGTTTAATAGGGTTAAGTGTGGAGGTGAATGAGAATTGTAATCTCATAGAGGATCAATTAAAAACTTCCATTGACAATCATAATTTGAGCTAATGACAGTGACATCTTAAAACGCAATCATCTTTATTTCGTAATATTGATTGCGAAAAATGAAGAGCTTGAATCGAATTTTGTCTTTACTTTCCTGGCCTTAAAAATGATGTAAATCATTGAATAGAGAATATGGTGCAGGTTATGCAAATTATTGTATGGAGAATAATGAATGCAGCTATTGAAATTATGAAAGAACCAAACGAACCGCAGGTTCTCCTAGTTTTTTAGGCCTTGCTGAATCGACCTTGTTGCAAATTCAAAATTGAATATCTCGGCACCTAAAATATCCTAGCATGAATTTTCAAAAATAATGTGAAACCTTTGAAACCCTATTTGTCGAAATTTAAATTGAAATTGTGCGCGACAATATTTTCAAAATGGCGAATGACAAAGCAGGGAGAGCATGCAAAGTTGATAAATAAAGGTCCGAGTTTGCGACGATGCACGGCGTGAATCAGGTATTGCAGCCCAATGGGACAAAATGCACATGAAAGTATATAGTGTTATCTTGAAAATGTTTCTTTACTAAGCTCGATGCGATAATTGTCCCATTGCTGAGTTATTCCATAACTCAGCGAATAATTATCGCATCAAGCTCGATAAAGAAGCATTTTGAAGATAACACTCTATACTTTCATATGCATTTTGTCCCATTGGGCTGCGATACCCGATTCACGTCGTGCACGCACCGTCGCAAACTAGGAGCTTTGATTATCAATTTTGCATTCTCTCACTTTTTCATCCGCTATTTTGATTAAAATGGCCGAGCATTATTGCCATTTAAATATTCTTAAAGCGGACATTTGGCGCTTTATTTTACATTTAAAAAAATATTTTTATCTTCACTATTTACCAAGTTATAATTATTTATGGTAAATTTTTCTCACAAACATTTTTAGTGTACCACTTTTTTGGGACTGAGTGTATTTGTGACTATTTTCCTAACTTGCCTCTTTGTCGCCTACCTATCGCCCTACTGTAATAATATATTATGATCTATTATCTACCTCTATAGAAGTGACTCGTCGTAGCAAAATACAACAGAATAGAAAAAGGAAAACAGATAAAAACGGAATGGAGAGAGGGAAAGCACTATGCTGATATCTATTTAATTAGAGAAATGAAACATATCGATATTTCCATCAAAATAATGAAGTTACTAAGGTTTATTTTTAAAAAAGGGAAAGTAATTAAGTGCATTACAGAAACGATAACTTAAAAATCTGTCATATTTTTTTTGAGGTGCTGTCGAATTTAGGTGATTACGATACAAACTAGTTGTCATTTTTTTTAATATTTAGGATATTTTCTTGAATTATAATAATTGCAATACTAATGTAAACACTAATAATATATTACTAAAAATTTTAATCTCTTTAAACGTTATCATTTATCTAAAATTTATGATATAATGCTGGTTACTGATTTTCAGACCTGTGTCAGCATACGCCCTTTTCTTCAGAGACACTCAGGCAGTAATTAAGGGAAAACATCCAAATGCCAGCTTCGGCGAAGTATCTAAAATCGTTGCGTCAATGTGGGATGCATTAGACATTGAACATAAAAATGTAAGTATTTAAAATCTTAATAATCTTATGTATTTCTATTATTTGTTCGATGATTATCTATAACGAGTATCGTTTCAAGTATAATTGTGACACACAAATGCTGCTTAATATAATTATAGATTTTATTATATAATTTTATATAATTATTATATAATACTAATATTAAAAAGAGAAAAAGAAAGTTGTCTAATAAGAGCCAAACGCGGTTATTTGTATGTAAGTTGATGCTATGTAATATTCAATTAATAATTTAATACAAACTATAAATCGTTTTGGATATACTTTGAGCCATCTTTAGCGACGCGGTGATAGATAAATTAAATAATATCAAGCTCTCCGAAAAATATAAAGTGAGTAACTGAAGCTGTGAAAAAGACAACGGAAACAGTTTGTCAATCTCATGTTCTCTGAACTTGATTTGGTGAATAAATTTCATATTTTTTTGCCGGTTAGTCTCAATTTTTATTAAATTTTTCTAGCTTTTCCTCTTTAAGTTTACATTTTTTTTGTACCTTTAACTTTTAAATACTCCCCAAACTAGGGGAGACCGGGGCGAAGTCGACCCTTTTTTTCGGTGCCGATTTTTAACAACAAAATAAATCATTTTAGTGAAATATAGTATACCATTGTAAAGAGTGAACCCTTGGCTACAAAATTTATATAGGCATTTTTGGTCTACGTCGCTTTGTTCAACTGGTATAGAGTAAAAACGACAAAGGTGCAAAAATTGAAAAGTCAAAATTTCCGGGGCGCAGTCGTGTCTTTATTCTCGGACTGGATTTTAAATAAAGATACATAATTTTGATCATAACAAATAATAGAATACACTTTATTCATTGTTTTTTAGTAGAAAATGGAAAGCGGAAAATAATTTTAAGAAAATCAATTTTCTTTTTCGCTAACAGTTAAAGCATGTAAAAACAGAGTCTGACGAGCGCCCGCACTCGTTGTGTGCCTTACGCCTGCACGAAATGCACTGTTTTTCATTGGCTCTGTTTTCTATTATCTCCGAGCATACGCAGCATATATTATTTAGCTTTCTTGACTTCGTTTTGGCTTGGAAACGACTTCGCCCCGAACACAAGTTTTAGGTTTGGTCGCTTATAAAATAATAGAAATCAATGAAAATAAAAAAACTGCACTGGATTCGTGTTCAGCATGCATTACTCTTTAGAATCACTTACTTTGAGATTCGGAGAGACAATAATACTTAAGATATTACAAACTTTCGACCTGCGAAAACACGTTTGCTTCGATAAGAATCACAACATGACGCGTAATCTCACTAAACTCGGTTGGTCACGTGGGCACCATAAATCGCGCTTACACGCTTACAGTATTAATGGCGAGTTCACACAACATACAGATTTCGAGATAATTGCAAAAACGACTCCGCCCCAGGGCTGAATTCGCCCCGGTCTCCCCTATACTTTTCGGAAAACTTGAGATTATCAAGAGACACGGTAGTGTCTCGTGCCAAGTATACGCGGAGCGAGACCGACCGTGACTTTTTTAAACGCGACGCGACGGGTTGCGAGTTGCGAGTACTCCTCGGAGTACTCGAGATGTTGAGATCTCGATAACGAGTGAATTTGTCTATCACTGCGTCGCTGAAGATGACTCAAAGTAAAACCGAAACGTACGATTTATAGTTTATATTAAATTATTAACCCTCCGTAGTCACACCTATTTTTTTCAAACAAGGAAGTCACTCTGGGTCATTTTGACCCGAGACGAACTTTGACCGTTCGCCATTTGACCATTTATCCACCGATCGTGTTGAAAAAATTCTCGAATGCACTTGCGATATTGCTAAATTGATTGCTATAAAAAAAGAAGGGCCTCAGGAATTTTTAACATATAAAAAAAATTCGCGATTTTTTTTTGTTTTTTTTTTTAACTACAGCTAGAGGGCGTCATGCCCGCAAATTTTTAAGTTACGCGCAAGATATTTACGAGCAAAGTTGAGGCTCGGGTCAAATTGACTCGGTTTGACTACGGAGGGTTAATTGAATATTAGATAGCGTCAACTTACACACAAATAACTGTATTTGACTCTCATAGCCCACTTTTCCTTTTTACTCTAAATTTTAATATCAAGCGTCTTTAGCTAATTATTTCTTTTAATTTTAATACCATCGTTGTTGAGTTAAAGTATAAATTTTCACATAGTATTACAAAAAGAAAACCGAGGCAGCTAAGAAGGAATATTTGAAGGCTCTCGCGGCATATAGAGCATCTTTAGTAAGCAAAGGTGCGAGTGAAAATGAACAAAAACAACAAACACAACAGCCACAACAACAAATGCAATACAGCGGATACGCAGGCTATGCCAACAATACTGCGCCAGGAAATGTTACATATCAAGTCTATAGCCCTCAGCATCAACCTTCGTCGCCTCAACAGCAACATCAGCAACAACAGCAACAGCAGCAGCAACAAATGGCTGTTAATAAAAAGTCACCCCATCATTTAGCTATGCAAGGAAATCCTCAACAACAAGTATGATTTAGCAAATATACAATAGAATTTTTGAAAAAAAGTCAAACATGATAAAGACAAATATAATTTTTTTCGAAATTGTAATTTAATTCTATACTTGTGTCCTTATGACATAATTGTTGGTACCTAGACAACAATTAATACATAAATTCAGTGATTAACGTATTACTCATTAATCACTGAATCACTCGTTAATCACTCGTCTTTCTATAAATAAAATAAGACTGTTGTTACGTTTATCATATAACATACAATACGTAAAACTTGTAAAAACGTTGTTTGTATAAAATTCTTTAAATTTTTTTATGTTTTTGTCTTTGTTTTTCTGCTTATGTATAATAAGAACTAATATATGAAGACATTGAGAGATTTTGTTTTTATAATTCTAGTAATTCATATTCGATTAATGAAAGTCATGAAAAATATGAACAATTTCAACGATTGATTAAACTAAATTGTAACAGAGTTATTTCAGTTAATGAATGCGAACAAACATTATCGA